AATATCTGAATCAGATAACTTTTCTCATCGAAAGGCAGAAAATTATGTGAAAATGTTCACAAGAGAAAAGTTATCTGATTCAGATATTAACATATTATCAAAAGGGCTAAAAATCATTCCGAGTCCTGTATGAATACAAAAGAGATTTCTGATTTTATTATCGACAATGTTAATGAGATATCGTTTTTGTTGCATCTGCAGCGCACTTTCTGCGCCTATCCTTGTCAAATGTTTATTCGAGTTCAATCATTTATCAAATTTCAATAATGAATAAATCAGTTCTTCGACTATGGATTATACCAAATCAAACAGAAACGAAAATACGCGATATACTATGTTATAAGTTAAAATGAGGACGGATCTGCAGACAATTCCATTGTTTTTTGTTATAGTTAGTCAGGCAGCAGACACAGCAGCGAGCAGGCACGTTTTCCTGTGACACATGCCAGAGAGTGTACCGAAGGAAAGAGGACTTAAAAGTCCATCTCTCCAGAAATCATCAGGTAATATTATGTGCCTAACACCACTGATGACAAACAGTTCAATATAGAAGCCAACAAAAACCCTTTACTTTAGGTCACACATAATATGGCACTGTTTGTAAAGCATGTTCAACTTTTCAAAATCGTATGTACAAGTACCGACGTTTTGTTGAACATTTGTTTTTGTAAAATTCTATCAGAAATATTAATTGATTACCAATACAAGAAATCTTAAGATAACAACTTATATTTCATTTGCATATTAATACAAGCGGGAAAACCAGACCAGGTACCTTCACCAACACCAGCCCCAGCACTTTCACCAACACCAGGTGCACTTCAAGTAGATATAATTGATTTTGAAGACATGATGTCAATTGACTACAAACTAGACTTTCTAGAGATGGAGGCAATCTGTTTTAGGTAAGTTTTTTGCTCAGTTGGTGACAGTGCAGAACAAAATAGATAACTTTTGGTTTTATATTTACAAAGATCGTTTTCATGAATAAAATTATTTAAACACATATTACTTCCACGGAACTTACCGCACACTGATAAAAAGTTACTTTCTTTATACGTAATGATCAAGATGTAAAATTCACACCATGCATTCTTTTTAATTTTCCTTCAATGACCCCCCCCCCCCCCCCCCCCTCAAAAAAAAAACAAAAAAAACAAACAAATATACGGACATAAAATCACACCATGCATTCTTTTAATTTTCCTTCAATGACCATCCCCCCCCCCCCCAAAAAAAAACAAAAACAAAAAACCAAACAAATATACGGACATACCACTAGTAATAGGAGACACAGTAGTAATTATTAGTAATTCTGGTTCTTCTGGTGGATGTGTGTTAGGATATTGAGAATATATGTGGTAGGACTTTTTTGCAGTGCTTTTTGATTATTTTATGCCAGTGTATAGTTGTTTGAATGTTTGATGTTAAAATGCAAATAGAATAGTTTTTAGTGCTTGCTAAGTAAAAAGGCTTTTAGGTCTACTTTTTGTGCTATATGAGTGTGTAGTAGTTTGTATGTGTTAGTTATAAAGCATGTGTGTTTGTTGTTAAATAAAAGGTATTTAGTGCTAACTGATAGGATTTTAAGTATATGTTTGATGTTGTTATATAAAAGTGGAGGAGAGTGTATGCATTAATGTAATATTGAACATAGCAATATAGTGTTCCCGACTAGCTGCAAAAATAAGTGAAACTTTTATAAAACAGTATCATCTTCCTTTTAAAGTAATAATTCATTGGCTAGAACTCATGCCAATATAATTTGTGTATTTGTGGATTACCAATACAAGAAATCTTAAGATAACAACTTGTATTTCATTTGCATATTAATACAGGCGGGAACACCAGACCAACTACCTTCACCAACACCAGTTGTTACACCAGCCCCAGCACTTTCACCAACACCAGGTGCACTTCAAGTAGATATAATTGATTTTGAAGACATGATGTCAACTGACTACAAACTAGACTTTCTAGAAATGGAGGCAATGAGTTTTTAGGTAAGTTTTTTGCTCAGTTGAGGACAGTGCAGAACAAATTAGATAAATTTTTGTTTTATATTTACAAAGATCGTTTTCATGAATAAAATCATGCATTAAACACATATTACTTGCACAGAACTTACCGCACACTGATAAAAAGTTACTTTCTTTATATTCCTTCTTTATTGAATCCGTAATGATCAAGATGTAAAACAAAATCACACCTTGCATTCTTTTTAATTTTCCTTCAATGAAACCCCCCCATCCCCCCCCCCCAAAAAAAAGAAAAAAACAAATATACGGACATACCACTAGTAGTAGGAGACACAGTAGTAATTATTAGTAATTCTGGTTCTTCTGGTGGATGTGTGTTAGTATATTGAGAAGATATGTGGTAGGACTTTTTTGCAGTGCTTTTTGATTATTTTATGTCAGTGTATAGTTGTTTGAATGTTTGATGTTTAAATGCAAATAGAATAGTTTTTAGTGCTTGCTAAGTAAAAAGGCTTTTAGATCTACTTTTTGTGCTATATGAGTGTGTAGTAGTTTGTATGTGTTAGTTATAAAGCATGTGTTTTTGTTGTTAAATAAAAGGTATTTAGTGCTAACTGATAGGATTTTAAGTATATGTTTGATTGATTGATTGATTGTTGGTTGCTTAACGTCCAGTGGCAAATATTTCATGCATATTCAGGATGAGAACAAGTTCACAATAAATACAATAAGGTAGGTTCTGTAATAGATTAAGGGATTAAGGTCGGAGAAATTTAGACTACCACGGGAAATGAGGGTATATTGGATAGGGACAGAAATTTAGCCTTGCAACAGGTCACCTACGGACCCCTCAAAGAGTTGTTGCAAGGGTCCTTAACGTGCAAAGAGCGTGGCACTCTCTTTACACGAGGCATCGGATTTAATGTCCCCATTCTGACCGGACGTGGCTACAAATTTGTACATCCCGCACAGCCAAACGGACGCCCCACTTTAGCACGGGTTTTACTGCCGGTCGGAGGAAGACCAATGGTGACCATACTTCTATTCCCCAGTCACCCTTGGGGGTGTATATGTTTGATGTTGTTATATAAAAGTGGAGGAGAGTGTATGTATTAATGTAGTATTGAACATAGCAATATAGTGTTCCCTACTAGCTGCAAATATAAGTGAAACTTTTATAAAACAGTATCATCTTCCTTTTAAAGTAATAATTCATTGGCTAGAACTCATGCCAATATAATTTGTGTATTGGAAATTTGAACAGTATATAGAAGTTAAAGGAACAGCGGAGCAGAACGAAATTCGAACGTAAACTGTAACTCGTCAAGATATAGCTACATACGAAATACCATGTTAACAATTGCAAATTTGAACAACACATGCAAGTTAAAGGCGCATAAATGAGCCATAAATCATTGATTCAAAACGAAATTTAAATTTAAACTGTAAGATGTAGCTGTATACCAACTATCAAGTCGATATCGTACAATTAAAATAAATGTTATCTTTTAAATTGCGAGAACAAAAACAGAAAACAATTCCTCATCAACTATAATATAATTACATTCTTCACAAAATAACAACAGCGAACATCATTCTTGGTTTACACTCTGTTTTCTTCGCTTTCTATTTTCAGTTGTCAAATATTTTTCAGTGTCCTGGCAGATTTCATTAATTAACTTATAAGGCGAGTAGTTTGCGGCAATGTCAATTCCTATTATCATTTCCTTGACAAGCACATAAGTGGGATATTGGGAAGCCAATCTGAAAAGAAGTGTTGTACATCAATATTAACACATTTACCTATATACCAAACATTTCATTTTTGCATGTACTAATATATAAACTTCGTGTAATACTTTTTTTATCGGGGTTATGAATATTATCAGCATGTATACAAAATAATAGGCAAGTTACAAGCTTTAAGTCAACTGTTTTCGTTTATTGAGTTTAAAAAGTAGACAATCATAATGGCGCTAAAGAACTTGTGTAACTCATCAAAGTCTATTATGGTTTTTATTTATGCATCTCATATTGTTGAACGGCAACTTTCATGCAGTAAATTGTTTGCTAAATCTGATTTTTAATAGTAAGTCCTATATTTAGTAGGGATGGCAACGAGTAAAATGTGATCATATATTTTAAATGCTTTGTTTTTATATTTCAGTCTTACACGTGCAATATTTGTGATAAGGAATTTGTTTCAAGATCGGGTGTCAAGGCACGTCCGATTTGTCCATACAAAGCATCAACTAGGGTGTGGAAAATGTACCAAAACATTCCGTTCTAAAGACTTTGAGAAGGCACGAACGAAAAGTACATCAGGTTATTATTATTAAGTACAAAATGAGTCGATTTTATATTATTGTAATTTGTGTTATACCAGTGAAATGTAATTACATCATATAATTGATACATACAAATGCAGAATGTATGAATACAAAAGAGATTTCTGATTTTATTATCGACAATGTTAATGAGAGATATCGTTTTTGTTGCATCTGCAGCGCACTTTCTGCGCCTACCTTCGTCAAATGTTTATTCGAGTTCAATCATTTATCAAATTTCAATAATGAATAAATCAGTTCTTCGACTATGGATTATACCAAATCAATCAGAAACGAAAATACACGAAATACTTTGTTATAAGTAAAAAATAAGGACGGATCTGTAGACAATTCCAATGTTTTTTGTTATAGTTATTCAGGCAGCAGACAGAGCAGCGAGCAGGCACGTTTTCCTGTGACACATGCCAGAGAGTGTACCGAAGGAAAGAGGAATTAAAAGTCCATCTCTCCAGAAATCATTAGGTAATATTATGTGCCTAACACCACTCGATGACAAACAGTTCAATGTAGTAGCCAACAAAAACCCTTTACTTTAGGTCTCACATAATATGGCACTATTTGTAAAGCATGTTCAACTTTTCAAAATCGTATGTACAAGTACCGATGTGTTGCTGAACATTTGTTTTTGTAAGATTCTATCAGAAATATTAATTGATTACCAATACAAGAAATCTTAAGATAACAACTTATATTTCATTTGCATATTAATACAGGCGGGAACACCAGACCAGGTACCTTCACCAACACCAGTTGTTACACCAGCCCCAGCACTTTCACCAACACCAGGTGCACTTCAAGTAGATATAATGAATTTTGAAGACATGATGTCAACTGACTACAAACTAGACTTTCTAGAGATGGAGGCAATGCGTTTTTAGGTAAGTTTTTTGCTCAGTTGAGGACAGTGCAGAACAAATTAGATAAATTTTTGTTTTATATTTACAAAGATCGTTTTCATGAATACAATTATGCATTAAACACATATTACTTGCACAGAACTTACCGCACACTGATAAAAAGTTACTTTCTTTATATTCCTTCTTTATGGAATCCGTAATGATCAAGATGTAAAACAAAATCATGTAATTATCATATGATATTCAAAACATTCCTGATGGTTTTTTTTATATGCTTTAGATTTTACACTAGATATTATTACATTTTGTTTTAATATGCATAATATGTTTATCATTTTATTTCACATGTTACATGTTTATTTCATTTTTTTTTTTAAATTCGTCCCTACTGTCTGCTCACTCCTTGATGTTATCAACAATTAAATTATGCGTCAGGTTCAGGTCATTGACCTGACCTATATACAAATCAATACCTCTGCATTCCAGCAGCCAGTATTGACACGCTAAAAAGTAAGTATAAAGCCATTTGTACATGTAAACTTCTATGTCAAATTGTCTCTAGAGGAGAGTAGTCTAAATAGCAACCACACCACTTCAACATATTCTTAATTGTCAGACCAACTTACAAACTCTATTAAGTTAGTAGTATATCTCTTAAATTACTGAATCCATATCCAAGCTATCGGCTAAATATTTACCTTGTGTAAATATTCAGTTAAAATAAAACTTAAAATTTTACAAGCTGAGTTAATACCTTGCATTTTACTTCCAGAATGAACGCAATACAGTTCCTAATGTCAACTGGAAAGAACCAACCATACCATGTTCCACTAAAGGCAACTCTAGCCATACAAGACATTACCAACATGATTGTTAGAAACAAATCCACAGCAAATTTTTGACTAGCAGATGTAACTAGAGCCATGCTAGCTCTAAGCTACGATTAGGGGGGGATAAATATGCTAAAAGAAGGTAGCAAGATCATGATAAGGAACTATATCTATAGAGATAATACCATTAACATTTCAAGTCAAACAAAATTGTAATGGTCCTCAGGTGTTATTAGCATTTTACTTCATGAAAATATCTCTTATAATTGTCCGCAGTCAGAACTAGAACAGTTATTGCTGCCATATTGAAAAGGGGACAGCTGTTTATATTTGAGATGAAAATGCTGGGACAAAAAAGGAAATTCATAATTCAAATAGAACAGTTGCTTGAAAACATGCATAGGTTTTTCAAGAGTTCAAACTATTTCCCTTCCATCCGAAATAATCTGCACCTTATCATTATTGCTGCAATAACCATGAAGTGAATTCCGTTTTGAAACCTGGAAACACCAAGAGTGACTGGTGAATAGAAATGTGGTCACTTCATCTCTTCTTCCGATGGGCAGGAATACCTTTGCCACGCTCTCGGCACGAAACGACCCCTTACAACAACTCTTTGAGGGGTCTATATGTGTTAATTTATCACAAGTAGCGGCTGATGAATTAGACACTTATGTGTGTCCACACTGTAATAAAGTGAGCCGATAGGGAAGGGGTTATTTTTTCATAGTAAGGAGAAGTGGAATATGTGCAGTTGACATTAAACTTATAACTTTTCTTTATTTTGTAGTAGTAGGGCAGAATACAAAGGAAATTACAGCAGTGATGATGAGGAGGTCAACTTCAGGTACGACCCGGTGTTAATATATCAGGAGACAGTGGATATTCTTTTTGATATCTCTCCCGCACTTCACCGAATACTGGGTGTGTGACAGGGACGACTGGGTGACTGCTTACCCCCAGTTACCCGTCACATACAGAACTGTGATGTGAATATTATTGTGGACTTTATATAAATATACGAACTGTGATTTCCCATTTAAATTGGTCTAAAAGGAGCATGTATGGACACGGACATAGTTCTCCGGATTGATTATTGGTTGCTTAACGTCTAGTGGCAAATATTTCATGCATATTCACCTGCGGGACCCCTCAAAGAGTTGTTTCAAGGGTTCTTAACGTACAAAGAGCGTGGCACTCTCTTTACACGAGGCATCGGATTTAACGTCCTCATTCTGACCGGACGTGGCTGCAAATTTGTACATCCCGCAGAGCCAAACGGACGCCCCACTTTAGCAAGGGTTTTACTGCCGGTCGGAGGAAGACCAATGGTGACCATACTTCTATTCCCCAGTCACCTTTGGGGTTATAGTTCTCCGGTATTCTGGAATAGAGTATAAATGTATGGTACGTGTGATCATTGACAAATGAGTCATCTGTTTATATGTTTTTGGATATTTGGAACAGCAGTTAGCGAAATGTTCCCGGAAGAGTGTCTTGGATTTACTGAAAAAATCCAAGAACTGTTTATAGTGTTATATCGTTGGGAACCATTGTACCCCCTTTAGCGCGGGATGTGCCAGTCACATAGAAATAGGAAATTATGTACAGCAGAATGAATTTGGATTGTGCATAGTGGACAGTGATACAACAGAGATAGTATCTGTGCTAATATGCTAAGGAATAGTGATTAGTATTAAGTTAATTATGTTAAGTAAGTTGCTTCATTGGATGGATGTAAACCCCAGGGTTGGAACGTGATATAACCAAGAAAACTTTATGGTAAATATTGCCCTTATATTGTTTTAATATGTTTACCCTTTTAGCATAAATAAGTCGCGATTGCAGAGTAAGTCTCTGTTTGGACAGAACTTGTGAATATTGTGTACACTTGAATTGTACTTAATTACTTGTATGGCTACTTGTGTTTGTCACCAGATAGCTGAGATTAAAGGACTTGTAATTGCGTATGTCGCTAGACAGTCTGATAGCAGTGCTTGGGTCGCATTAAGATCATTTTATAATACTTGTTTAGTGTTAGTCTATATCATGTTAAGTTCACGTGTTTTTCATGTTGGGGTTTGAGTTCTGGTTATGGGAACTTCGGCATTTGGCTTTGCTGAGGACTAAAAGTTAAAGTTAGGTAACCTATAGTTTTGGGAATTAAATCCCGCAGAGAGGTGCCGATAGGTTTAAGAATATATTTCATCGTTTATTTATAGCGGTTCCCTCTTTTTTAAAGTGGGGAGGAATGTAGTGAAATTGGGCACTAATCCCGGGATTCCGTAAGCTATTTATAGACGCTGCTTCCCCAGTGTCTGATGCGGGAAAAAGAAGGCACGTGATTTGCATGCGGAACCCTGGTCAGCCATTCCATTTGCATCAGCCAGTGGGACAAGACGTAATTGGAAAACCTTACAGTATACATTGAGGACATATCGCTTTGTACAATAACCAACAGGTCAGTTACATACTATAAGCAGGTTATTAAGATTTTACAATAAAATGTTGACTGTTGTTTAGGTAAGGGTGGAGTCCCAAATCAAGTTTCTTGCAATGGAAGATGTGAGTTTTTCTGAATTATAAGGGGACGACCATTTGATATTCGGGGGGGGGGGGGGGGGAGGAAGATTTGTTTTGGATCAGTTATTTATTTTTGTGGACTAAAAGTTTTGGATCAGTTATTTATTTTTGTGGACTAAAAGGACAGATTATTTATGTTCTGCACTGTTGAAGAATGATTTTTCATTTTCATTAAAACAAGGGACCGATTATTTATTTTCACAATTATATTTCTAATATTTGAAAACACACAAATTTTAAATTCATTTTTTTTTTTCTTAAATAAATAATACTTGTATAGTCAAGTGATTATGTACCATTAAATCATAATTAATCCTCCTCCTCTGGACATGCTGGAAGTGAATCTTCTGAATTCCAAACTGCATATATTGCATAAGTACAAGGTATTAAAGCTGGGCTGTATCTAGCCTCTTTTTAAAAGTAATGGCACATATTTGCCGAGCAGAGCGAGGCGAGAAAAAAAAATCGGCCAAAGGTTTGGAGGCCGCTGAAGGCCTCAAGAAGGTATAGAAAAATGATGCAAAATCATGCAATCTGTGCGTTTCCCAGACCCTTTCTTAATCTGAAAAACAAGTTCTGTTTTAATTATTTTTCGACAATATTTTGGTCTCAAAGCAAAAAATATATATTCAGCGTTAGACTTTTAGTTTTTAGGAACAACATCAAAACACCAATATGTAGGATAAAGCAAAAAATGTTATTCACATAGTTAAGTATGTGGCTGCTGTTTTTTTTTAGTGGTGTTTTGGCTTGCAGAAAATCTTTTATAACTGTCAATTATTTGTTTTTTTTTTAAAAATTAAGTTAAGAAGGGGCTGAGTATCATTGATATAACTATGTCAGGTAAGTTTTTATAACACATTTCAATTACAACTTGATGTAGTTCCTAACTGAGATACAATTTAAAGAAGTTTGCAAAATTAGATAAAAAGTCCTTTAAAATAAAATAAAACTCAAGTTTAAAACAAAATTACTAAATTACAAATGGAGATGCAACACAAAGAAAATAATTAAGAAGGTCAATCAATGAACTAAGACAACCCTAGAACAGATAAAATACAAAACAACAAACAAAACACAAATAACACTGAAAACTAAAAGAAATGCGAAACATGGATCCCGTAAAACGGGGGCTACGTCAGAGGGTGAACAGAACTTGATTCTTGCAAGACACTCGCCGTGAAAACAATTTGATATGAAGACAATCTTTTGTTTTTTTAAATTTCCTACATGAGGCGGTTGCCTTGATGTATTTACAGCCCTGTAATAAAAGGAAGGTAAATGTTCCTGAGACAATATACCTTAAGTTAAATGAAACCCATGTTTTGAAATTTCAAGTACATTAATATTTATACATTGTATTATTAAAAGATTTGGGACGTTTTTCCCGAAAAAAATATTTAAAAAGACGAATTTTGGAAGAATCTGGTGCCATCTCATACTTAAGAATAGCATTTATTATAAAATGGGTTAAAAGACCTGCCGAGTTATTTATTTTCAATACATCGTAAGTCAGGTTAT